TAACTAACGTAAGTAGTAGTTACTTACTTACCGTACGTACCGTACGTACGTTAGTTAGTAAGTAGTACGTACGTACGTACGTCGCTATATAACTAACTTACTTACTTATATATATATATATATATATATATATATATATATATAACGGAAGCTTTGTAAGTATCTCCACACACATTATGTTTTATGTTGGAAGAACCACAACCATTTCATCTTTGATTAGACAGCTAGAAGTGAGCTGACACCAATAACCTGCATTAATTATGACCTTAAAGACATGGTTGGCATCAATCTATGACATTGCTCCTAGATCACTCTCAGTCATCCGATTGATTGAATGTGTCTAGAGATAGAGATCAAATGGTTGAATTGTATACAAACACATATAAAATGTCTGTGAAAACATATAGAGAGCTTAACCATTAATTAGTGAGAAAACTATTGGTGCTCCAATAGGAAGGACCAAGAAATGGTTCTCCCCATCAACAACGGTTTTTTATATGTTTGAAGGATGCCTCCAAACAAGACATGGAAAAAACTCAAATCCCTTAGACCGCCATCTGTTCAAATGTATGGGCCAAATTTGATTTTTGGGTGACAATAGATTTGGAGCATTTATGGAGAAAAAACCTTTTCTTTGTGTTTTACTTTTCTTTCTTTTTTCTTTTTCTTCTTCTTCTTTGAAGGACCTTGTATACAGTTGCATTGACATACCTGGGAATGAATTATGCGACATAACCAATACATACAAACTCTTCATAGTTCATGCTGGGACAGCCACTGGCCTCTTACTTGTCTTGATGCCTTTAATAGCTGCAAAAACGGGGGAAAGGTCACCATCCAGAAATTCAAAAGAATAAATGTTTCCCTATTTTTTTGGGGGGCTAATTTTCATAATCGCTCTTTTCCTTTTAATGCTGAAACAGATACAAGTCAATATACTCTAATAAACATGACTTAAACTTTGTCACGGTAGAGGTATGTATATCATGCCTGCAGCATAATCTTTGGCACCAAATACAGCAGAACCTGCCACCAAGGCATTTGCTCCAGCCTCAATGACCTGCCATCATAGAAATTACTGTCAAGTTAAGATAGTACTGGGAAATGGACTAACTTGTCTGTGTGCGTATACGTAAATGAGAGAGAGAGAGAGAGAGAGAGAGAGATCACCTTGTAGGCATTTGATGGACCGACTCCACCATCAACTTCAATCCATGGATTTACACCCTGTATATTTAGCGTATCACCTCGATGTGCATTTGATAAGGCATATTAATATGGGAAATTCTCCAAAAGCTCAAACCACCACTTAGTGGCTTCCCATTACGAACCATGCAATAATCCTTTAACCAGTTACCTTCTCTGCACATAATCGTCTCAAGTCTGAAATTTTCTTTACTTGACTCTCAATAAAGCTCTGTCCACCGAAACCGGGATTTACTGACATGATTAACACCAAGTCTACCACTGTTCCACACAGAAGGCATAAACCAGTAAAATGATATATCAAGCTAAACAGCATCCATGAAGAGCAAAAAGAAAATAATATAGAATATGTATGCATAAAGTTCTGATAACAACTTTAAATGAACATAAACATGCTCCTGTCGATGCATGCAACTGGATTGAAGAATGTATGCAGGTGCATTAAGTTACAAAAGGAGTGGTTAGCGGCTTCTATGTGGTGATGAAAATATTTGGAGGCAGAAATTCATTCTGAATCTATCAAAAATTGATTGAATAAGTGCAACTATTTTCATTTGGTTATGACATCAACAAGAACAGTTCATTGTCGAATACTCACAAGTACAATTTCAAACTTAAAACCAATGGTCACATGAGAACTGGCACATGGTTAGATAAAAAAATTTCAGTACAAATATAGGGTTCTAGTCATCATATCTCAATGTGAACTCCTAAATAGACTTGGCATAAAACTCGCCTTACCATCAAGAACATATTCTATAGCAGTTAAGGGAGTTGCAGGGTTCAGGACTACTCCAACTTTCGCTCCAAGACTTTTAACCTGTATCAAAAAAAGAAAACAAACTAAAGGAAATAAGATAAGAAGGGTTTCGCAAATACACAATATACCAGAAAACTTGTTAGTTTGCAACCAAGAAAAACGGATGTCACCAATATTCAGAATGCGTAAAAACAAATGGACATGGTTCAGAAATCATTTTGTTTATACAAGAATAGTGCATCCTGAGAAAGCTTTCCAAGCATCACATGTAAATTAAGAGTACCGTTAAGATATGCAGAAATATAACATAAAATTACTGAAAGCTAGTAATTATGGATGCATAATAATTATGTCGCTTATTCGTTTACAAAAGATTCCTAAAAAAAATTCAGTTTATGAATAATTTATTCTATTTCCTTTTCCCATTGGTATGGAAATTAAGAAATTAAATTCCAAGAGTGATTATGCACAAAGAAAAAAGTAGTGAACAGGACCCATATTTTCTCTGGCCACATTTCTAAGTATTAGCAGAAACTCATGTGCTTTTCCCTTGGCCAAAAACCAAATATGTCTGTAGTCTGGCATCCATAATTGAGTTATTAAACCCTGGATTTCAGTCTAAATCCACAAGAACTTGGACACTCACTATTCTAATACATATTCTCAAAGAAAAGGATGATTAAACTTTTGACATTTTTATACTGATAAGAAAGGCCATTTGTCTTCATTGATATGAAAAACAAATTACTTGTTTAGGATTAGGACCAATAAAATGGCGAAAACAGAATCCAGATTCACGACTTTGGTAACAGCCTCTTAGCAAAAATCATTCCAAAGTCTATTATTCCTTCTTACAAAGAATTTCCAAAACCCATTATGGTAACCCCTGGCTGCAAATGGTGCACACACTTCATTCTCAAATTTATCCATACCATAACTTCTAATATCCATATTTAAAAATTTTAAATATCTTCTCATCAGTAACCTAAACATAAGAAAAGTATCATTGTCTAGACTTCTAGCTATCAGCCAATCAGGGAATTGCAATTGGTTCAACACTAAACAATACTCAAATAAAATAAAAATATGTATGATTGAAACTGATTAACAACATTACCTGATTAACTGTCCGATGCAAATGAATAGTGGATGATTGCTCACAATGGACACTCACGATATCTGCCCCAGCCTTTATGAAGTCTGGAACACGTTGATCAGGCTCAACGATCATCTATTGAAATTAAATCTAACATGAGCAACAAAAATAATAAAGTATACGATAACCCCATGGATAATAGAAAACCACAGAACAGTGGGTTTGTCACCATCCAGTGAGTATCCATTGCCATCCTTCATTACATTGGGTAGTAACTATGAATATGTAAAGATTGTGAGGATTATAGTATGCTCTCTCATCAGAATTTTTCAAAACCAGAAGAGATTTATGGCTGCATAATTCACTATGACAAATTCCACATTCTTTCAGGTATAAATTGGATACCAAGAAAAGCACAATTAAAAGCTTGACTGTTTTTAAGACGAGTGATTGATTAATTATTAAGGGAAAATCTACAGAAGAAAGAAAAGAAATGAAAAGAAGCGAGATCAAAATGTACCAAGTGGACATCCAGTGGCAAATCAGTCACAGGACGCAATGCGTCTACTACAAGGGGTCCAATAGTAATATTAGGTACAAAACGTCCATCCATGACATCGACATGAATCCAATCGCATCCTGCCAACTCCACAGCTTTAACCTAAGATGTTGATAGTTCAAAAAAATAGATATATATGAGTAACTATCAAAACCAAGCATATGAAGGCATGTACTACATTTATACAAACCAAGCATATGAAGGCATGTACTGCATATGTATAAATGTATGCAAGCATGCATGTATGCATGTTTTTTCATAGAGAAGCCATCTGATAATCAATTGACATCAGCCCATGAGAAAAAGTGCAAGATCTTGAATATCCTCCAAGAAGAGATGCCAGTACACTCATTTGGTGGCCTTATCATTTTCAAAAGCAAGCCACTGGGAAACTGCATTAACGTTCTTCGGATGAAAAGATAACCTATCAGTGTGAGTTTTTTCTTCCATAAGTATAAGGATTTGAGGGAAAATGAGAGAACTAAGGTAATGACAACAATTACTGGCTCCACAAGGGTGTTGTATTACTAGAAAAGTATCTAAGAACATATTTGTTTTGTCAATTGCCATTACTTGATGTCAATAGCATACTTCTAGTACACACAATATCTTCTAGTATCCACAAAATACTCAAATGTTGGGATTCTTATAGACTTCAGTACTCTAGGTAAGACTAAAACTCTCCCCATAAAGGCAAAGAGAATTCTAAAGAAAGTTAGCAAAAGACCTTCTTCAGTGACTATACATCACTGAAACCTACCTAAGAACGCATTCAACTGTCAATTTATGTCAAAATTAGAATGACCTCTTTGTAATCAGGCCTATATTCTCATTATAAGCCTGATTTTTCTTCGTATAGATTGCATGATAGGGAAGAGCAATTGTTGTTATTATAGTCACATCCATGGAATTGGGATATTTTACTACCAGATTTTGAAGTATTAAGAGAAGCAGAAGGGGCCAGTGCCAATCTTCCCCGCCTTTTTTTATTCTTAATATTCCACACTGACTGTGCCTGTGATACCATAGAGCAATGAATAATTTATTTTCTTTCTGAAGTCTCTAATATTATTCAACCTCATTCTTTTGGGACAGTTTGTTTGATGTATATTCCTATTCATCAAAAGATGTTTTCTTTTCTGTTTTTGGATTATCATCTCTTGTATTACAGAAGAAATATGCTAGAAACCTACTTTTTTTTTCAATATCAATCATGTACACTAATTCTAAGATTTCCCCATTTAAGGGTTGTAGAAATTACGTATCATTTAAATGTATTGAACTTTAGAATGAAGGGAGTAAGAAATACATCAATGACTTGCTACATTTCTCTATTAACAAACATGCCCACCCTCGACTGAAAGCATGACTAGAGTTTTACAAGAAGTATTTCCACAACCTGCTTAGTAAAAACATAAATGAAAACGATAACCATACCTGCTCTCCCAACTTTGAAAAATTAGCAGACAGAATTGAAGGAGAAACAATAATATCACTTTTTGAGAATTTGTCAACACGTGCAGATGCCCTAACAGTAAATCTCCTGAAAGTTTCAAAGCAACATCAGTAACCAAAACTTCAGTCTATGGTCAGCATGAATGATGACCTTTATAATCCCATGAGCCTGATGGCCAATATAAAAGAATATATATACCATTGCATAAGCTAACATTTCTCATGACCTTCTCATCCTTCTTTTTCAATCCATAGTAAAACAATCAATTAAACCAAGACATCCCAATTTCCAAATTTTCACGCATTTCAGCTTATGCTACCATACATAAGATATATTTACAAAATACGCCCACTGCTCTGATGATGTTGAAAACCCCATCAAACAAAAAAAAACGTTAAAACAAGCCGTCGTTAAAATTGTTTTAACAATAAATACATACCGTTATAACTATTGTTAGAACACGAAAACAATTAAAACTTTATAATTGCAAAAAAGAATATTTTCCTATAATAGTTTTCTTTTGTCGGAAATCATTATGCACTCTGAAAACTATTTGCAACATTTCCAAGAGAAGTTCAGATCAATGTATATCCATTGGAAAGACAAGACCTTCAAATACAAAAAGGCTTCTTAAGGGTAAATAAAGGGAACAACTGATGTCACAAAATTAGAGCATAAACCTCAGCATACGAAAAGGAAAAGATGCAACAATTGATGAGGCCATCACTAAAAAAAGGAAAACCACAGCATGAAAATTCCACCCAAGAACAAACAAGAAGTCCAGAAAATAAAAACCTATAACTCAATTCTGAACAGAAATTATGACTTGGGATTTCAACAGTTTTCCACTACCAATAAAGGGGAAAAAACAATTCAATAAACCTTATTAGTCGGGAGGTAAAACCAAATTCTTCCCACTTCAACACAATTTTGCCTATTTCTTTCAATAAGACATGGGTTTTTTTGGGCATTAAAAAGGCTTTTTCCAACAATTACACGAGTTCGCCATTAAATTTCAGCAACCCAATTAAAATGACTAGCCAAATTTTCAAAAGAAACGAAGAAAAACCAATATACAATAGGGAAAACCCCACCAATTCAGCTCATGATAATAATAATAATAAGATGTATTATAAACCTATATCGCCATCAAATTCAGAACAAAATCAATATAAGAAAAAAGGAAAAACCCAAAAAAATGAGAGAAAAATCAAACATATAGTGAGAAATGCTAAAAGGAAGTACCTTGGTGAAGTCACGAGATTAGGACATAAAGATGCTCTCTTACTCTTCAAACCTTGAAATCTGCTTACTTGGGGTTGCAGATAATGCCCCGTTGTAGAGAGAGAAGCAGCAGACATCTCTTCACAATTGTGTTTTCTCTCTCTAACTATCTCTCTCTCTACCAACCAAAATTCGAATTCCTTCTCAGACCCGAATCCTGTAAACGAGTGAAAGGGCCTAATTTTATCTTTTAAAATTAGGAACGACACGTGGCATATCATGGATTTTTGTCCATTATCTGCGAATTTATAAAATTGGAAAAACGGGTGATGGTAAGATGGGCTAACGGCCCATCAAATAGCATGTATAACATACACCCGCGGGAGTATACTATACAAAAAACATTAAAAAAACGTTTGGGTTCGGTTTAAGATTTCCTGTGTAGAAAATATGAAAACTCATCCAATAAAATATAAGAGATGAAAAATTGAACAATTCAACACTCCACCTATATCTTTTAAATTAATTTGTAAATACCCATTAAACCATGGTCTTGAGTTAGAGAGTTGCAAAAGGGCAGAATATTAAATATTTCATCTTGAGACTCTCCAAAAATTCCTCTAGAAAATAAACAAAAATAGGTTTTTATTTTTCACACATTTAGATGGGACATCAAAAATTAGATGGTCCTTAATCAATCCTACTATGTTGTTTCTTAGTTTGAATGATTGACTAGAAAAATATTTTTCTCTTTTTCTTTTTTTAATCTATGGGTCCTAGAACCCTCAGTAATTCAGATACCGTAAAAAATGGTAAAAAAATAGCATCTACAATCCCAAAGGGGCACTGAAATTGCCCAAGCTCTTTTCAGGATTTGCAATTCCCGGATCCGAATCGAATGATTTTCAACCACTGCTCCGTAGAGTGAAGGAACAAATTTACACTGTGATCCTGCGAGAGCATTATGAGATCCACCAAAAATATTTGTTTTCATTCGTGAGCAAATCCGTTTTCTAGCTGGAAAAAGAATGGATGATAGATCCCCCTCCATCCATTTGTTATGGATGGGCGGTCAGGATTTTGATTGGAGTTTTGAACTCTATTGCATGAAATCTTGGCCGTTGATACCAAACACAAACAATGTTCCTTAATTTCAGTTTGGTTTTCTTGGTAGGTTTACCTCCAGACCTTCTATTAATGCAATCCTTATTACATACCTATTCCCTCATTCAAATGACATATTTGAGAAATTTTTACAATCTTAAATTTTTGGGAACCACCTCACAACCACTGATTATTTAAAAATAATAATAATTGATTTTTAAGCTTTCTAACAATTCGATCTCAACGTCAAAAAATTGATCAATCTCTATTCAATCTCGAGACATCATTTTTTTTTTTTCAAGAGTGTGTAAAAATGGAGGTTTAAGAGGTTACATCCTCAAAACTTGGGGTCCTACAACTATTGGGTTTTACCATGAAGCCGAAATGACAGATTTATCAGAGTTTTCGGTGCCGCGACTGATTTTTCCGACGAGTTACAGCCATGACCTGGTGAAACATGTTCATGTATATAAGTGTTCATAAACAGTAGTCAAGAAAAAAAACAAAGAACTAGACGTTGATCAAATAGAAGTCAAAGCTTCTATGCTTCTTTCTTCTTTTCACTCCCTCGAACAAAATCCAATCTAGGAGCTCTTTCACGAGCCAAATTTTTGGACAAGTAACCTCTTCAATGGCTCAACTTAAGGACCCACCTCAAAAAAGAAAAAAAATTCAAATGCCCTATAAATGTACCTTAAGAAATAAGGTCATAAAATCAATATCCATTTTTTATTCTTAAAAATAATAATAATAAATAAATAAATAAATAATAATAAAACATATAGTGAGCCTTAATGAATCTCAAATTTTAAAACAGAAAAATATCCTTTAATTAGCTCTTTCACTCGAAGGAGTAAGTGCACAATTTATCACCTTTACTTTATTTAGGAAATTTATTAAATTATCCATGAGAGAGCGAAGGTCTTAAGATATAACTTTAAAATACTGATAAGAAAATTCATGACCTTGACTTGAAATAGTTGCAAATGATATAATGTTAAATAATTTATCTCTTATTGGTATTTTGAAAATTTTCCTTATCTCTTCTTATTGGTATTTTGAAATTTTCCAGCTCGTTATTTTATTAATAAACTGGGCACAAAATTTTATTTTAAGAAAAAACAAAATAAGAGGCTAATTTCACCATGAAAATAATGAAACATCCAGGCCATCGTATCCTCAGTAGCAATTTTAGCAATATATTGATAAACCAAAACATAAGTATAAATTTGGTTTTGGTCCTAGAAATGGAGCCAAAAAAATGGAGATCCAAAAAGTCCTTCAAAAACAAAATTATTTCTAGTCCTAACTGGTCAAAATTTTTTCAAGTAAAGAAATTTCATTCACTGTGCAAGCAATCAACGATAAAACCAATACCAATAAAGCAATGGCTGAGTTAATAAAACAAAATAAAAACAAAAATCTAAGCCTGCTAAAAAGGAGTTAAATCTTAATGAACTATGACTACCTAACCAAATAAATCTAGATTACAATTTGAGTTTCAATTGAAATGCACCAAAAGTACAAATTTGGAAAACAGATTTGAGTCATTTTCTTCATAAGAGTAAAACATGCAGCAGGTCAATCTTCATCACCTCCTCCTTTTTCTTTTTTTTTGGGACTAGGTTACATAGGAATGGAACTTGAGACATTGGGCTATGAAAACCAAGCCTCTACCGTCTAGACCCAAGCCCGTTTCCTAATCTTCATCACCTCCTTGCATAGGAATCATTTAATTTGCTAAATAGGGTAGATGGGATTCAACCCTTATACACATGCACTTAAAAATGGCTTTGTTTACATTAAATTTCACAAAAACAAAGCCTTAATATATAAATCACCTTTCCATATATATATACAACTTCAAAGTAACATGTTTACATCAAAAGAAAATGAAGAAAAAAGCACACAAGTTTCATGTTGTTTTTGCTGAAGATTGAAAGAAAAGCAACCGAAATATCACTGAGGAAACATGAATTGCAGCATCCGATTCATCGATAAATATTGAATTCCATAGATCAGGATATGATTAAGCGGAGGATCTCTCCTGAGTATTTGAAGGACTTCTCGGTTTCCTCCAAGCAACGGTTCTTCTCTTTCCTTGACCAACTCTACATTAGAACCAAGAGAAAAGATCACAGTGATGAGAACCGGATCAATTGGGAACAAGTATTGGATGAAAATAAAGGAATGCATTGTTTACATTATGCTAGAATAGAGGCCGCACAATATTTTTAGGGAAAAAAACGACATTCAAATAAAAATCGAAGGGCCATTGCTTCTATCAATAGTTAAAATGAAAGATTTTGGGTTAGTTACCTCTGCTACTTTGTTAAGCTTATCTCTCACATTCTGCAACAGCTGAGAAAGTTCTCCATCATACTTATAGAATTCCAGTTCCTTCTTGTTTAATATCTTCTCAGCAACCTGCAGCAATAAAGCAACTTAAAATTGGTCCTATTTCTCAGAGAAATGGAAAAATATAAAGAAGTTTTACATCAATGTTGCAAAAGAATATGTGAAACAACCAAAAGAAGCGAAAACAAGTAGAGTTTTCCTTCGAGTGAGAATGTCTCCTTATTATTTGTCAATTTTACCAATGACATTGTTAATTTCAATGATTTAATACAAAATGTGATGACTTCTAAATCAGATTCTCATGAATGGAGCTAGAAGAGAACTGTTGGCTGACTAAAATCCCCTCCTATAGTTTTATCTCTTCTTTACTTTTTCACATTTCCAAGACATCAACATTTCATGGTTTTATTACAGGAAAATCCAAGATTACGGTTATTATCTTGAAGGGATGAATCATGTTAACTTCATAAAAATGACCAAAAAGCCATCTCTCTCTCTCTCTCTCTTGAAGGGATGAATCGTTTCAACTTCATAAAAATGACCAAAAAGCCATCTCTCTCTGTCTCTCATGTGAGGGAGAGCGCGCATGCACACATACACGCACTTGTGCATCTCATAAGGAAAAAAGAAAGAACTCTCCCTTTGTCAACTGAATGGATCCAGAAAGGAAAACAAAGATCTCTATTGCATTCTAAGATCTCTTATATTTTAATTATACCCTGCTATTTGAACCCCTTCCTTTCTGATCTCTTGGAAGCTGGGTTGAAGCCTACAATCTCAGAGTTGCAAACCTCTTGAAATTGCTAGTACATTCCATGGACAATCAACAAGAGCATGGCTTAAAAGACAGATCTAACAGTCGACACTTCCATTGTGCTTTTAATCATGGTATACAATTTCTTCTCCTTTCTTTTATTTCAAAGATAACATATGAGTTTACGTACACTTACACAACAACGCTTTTCCAAAGAGCACAAGTTTATCTCACAAATTGCTATGATATTTCTCCAAAATCCAATAATGTTGGAATTTTTCCAATTTCAATGAACTTAAGGGCCACCATTTGATAAACCCAGAGTACAGAATCATTGAATACAGTTTATATGAAAGCCAACAATAACAGGAAGCAAATGAGCTTCAAACAACAAATGTACCTTTTTCCCAATCATTCGTCCACCAGCTGTGTGCGCAAAATATACATTGTAAAAGTGGCAAATAAATGCTTGAGGGTCCTTTTCTGATAGTTCTTCTAGATATGCAGTATAAGAAGAACCAGGAGAAGATGGTTCTGGAATGGTATGACCCTGCTCCCTGAACCATTCCAAATCTTTCGCCAGCTTCTCTGATCTTTCCAAACCAGTGTGCCTGAACTCAGCATCTGGCAATAAAATTTTTTTAAAGAAGTCCAGATTGCAACTCTTCTGATTGGTGCTAAGTGCTAACATAAATTCCCCCATTTATTAAAGCAACTATATTTAGAATTCACCAAAATGAGAACTATAGATATTTGAACCAATGACCTGGTGGATATAAGCACAGTTAGAACTTCTATCAGAATCTCTTATCAATAATTTTGAGAAATTAGCCCAACTCATTATTAATAAGCTAGTCCTTGGCAATCACTCCAACTCTGCAATGAAGCATCAATGCCACTTAACTAAAAATGAAGTATCGATGCCACTTAACTAAACTACCAAGTGAAAAAAATGGAAAAAAAAGGGACAAAATCCTTGTAAAAATGTCCAAGTTAGTTTTCCATTTGTTATTGTGCTCGCACATGCCAAGTAAATCGGTCGTCATACATCTCTCAATACTATCACAATTCAACAGTATATATTACATAAAGTCTTCCTTCATAACATACCTGCATAGATCTAAATCAAAACCGACCATGCTGCCAATCTCAATCCACCTTCTACCCTTACAAGGACAAATTCCATCCAAGAAAACTTGCATAATACATTTTCTGCTATCACACTGCCTGTCAAAAATCATTCCTAAATTTCAACATTCACCTTTACTCATTTCCTAGTCCCTCTCTCTCCATTTTCCATCATAATAACTAAAGCATAAGAGTTCAAATATTTACGAGGGATACTCAACTTCGAGTGATTCTTAAGAATACACAAATTCAACGAATATTGGTGGTGCACCTGTCGTTTTATCTGAAAGGGAGTTTAGCCCAACATTATTTAGCTGCTGTTGCAATCCATGCCACCTCTCAAGTGTGTAAAGTGACATGTTGCATAAGAATCATCTAACCCTAGAGAATAAAGTTGCACTACAACATATTGATGTAGGGCAAAATTACTCTTGTATTTAATATTTGTTTAATTTCAAAAGATGTACCTTTTAATTTTAGTTTTAGGGTCTATTTCTAAGGTTTTTAAGTTTTTTTGGGATTCTCGGATTTTTTTACAGTTTTATTTACTATTCACTGGTTACTATTAATAGGTACTGTTCATAGGTAATGTTCACAGTTACTCTTCATGTATTACTCTTTACAGGGGTATTTTTGGAATTTCAGTATTGTTATTTTTTTTAAGAAATGCTGACAATAATTGTATTACTGAGTAAAAAATGTACACAAAATGGAGCCCCTCATAAAGGGCACCCTATACAACCCCAAAGGGTACAAGAGAAACAAACGAAATTACAACTCAAAATAGTTGGAAGGTAGCGTAGCACTGCAAAAATCTAAGACCCCACCAGGGCGTTAGAATTAGCTCCCTCACGAGCAAGCTAGTCAGCATCGGAGTTAGCTTCCAATAAGTATGGCGCCAAGAGATTGAGATATCCTGAGTCAAGTGGGCTATGTCATCGAATATGTCGCCTAGACGCCACGACCCAAGAGGAGACTCTTGATGCCAACAAGATGACATTTTTGGAGTCTCCTTCCACCACCAGGGTGGGCCCCCAGGTGGTTTGAAATCTATGGAGGCCTTCTAAAAGGGCACTGGCTTCAGCTAGAGTTGAATTCACAAAGCCTATGGGGCAAGAATAAGCTTGCAAGATCTGACCAATGGTGGAGCGAAAGAGACCTACTCCGGAGGGTCCCAAGTTGCCAAGGGAGCACTTGTCAAAATTCAACTTGTTTAGAGTCTTAAATGTTTGCTCCTATCTCAAGTTAATTTTAGGGCTTCTCAAACATAAAAAGTTGATGTCACATTTTGGAAGGCTTATGTTATTAGGGAATGAATTTTATTTCATGAAAGAAGAGAGTTCCTCTTTTCGCTTGATTTACAGCCATGTTTTTTCTACATTATTGTTGATTTTTACTTTTTTGAGATTGATGAAAAAAGTGGATATAATTCCCACATTTCCTTCCTACATATGGTAGCAGATCTCGGTTTGAAGACGGCTTGAGATTGCGATGGCTGGTCATGGAGGTCTTAACCATAGGGATGCGAATCTGAATCAATTGCACAAGGAAATCAAAAACTTAATAGAGAGGTTTACACAGCTTTTGCGCAAGCGAGACCAGCAACAGAGTGCCATAAATGAAGAGGAAGCTACAGAGATAGATCTGAATCATGAGGGTTTTTATAGAGAATGGCGTGAATCAAAGTCTGAGTCTAAATGGAACGGATTGACAGATGGGTACGATATGCGACGGCATTTCAGGAGCATAATATTGTAGAAAAATAAAAAGTATCCAATGTTCAATCGGATTCAATATTCTTTGAATCAGCGGATGGCCCTATCTTTGATAACAATCCTATCTTTGATAGTGGTCCTATTTTTGATAAAGAACCAAGTGATGCTATCTTCGATAGTTGTCCTATTTTAGATCAAGAACTAGGTGATCCTATTGATAAAGAACCAAGTGATTCTATCTTTGATAGTTGTCCTATTTTAGATCAAGAACTAGGTGATCCTATTGATAAAGAACCAAGTGAATCTTTGATAGTTGTCCTGATTTAGATAAATAACTAGATGATCCATCTTTGATGGTGAAAACAAAGAGCTTGGAGATCATATCTATGATAAATAGCAAGTTATAGGTGACGATGATGGTGGCAATGATGGTAATGATGTGGATAGTAGTAGTGGTGAACAGGTCTAAGAGGAAGCAATTGGGGCCAGCCACTGTAAAGAGCACTTTTCTCTCACCAATGGTGGGGCTGATTTTTTTCCTATTTCCAATTTGAAGATTTCACCCCATAGTTGCACACTAGTATAGTTGATTGTGCCAAAACCTTCAGTAATTCGTCCGAAGCTATTTTAATCACGCCCATAGCCCACAGGTCTCAGGATCAAACCCAATGTTAATACGCAATATTTGGGTTGAGAGAGACCTTGCATCTAAAGGAGGATTCGTAATAACACACTTCAAAACTCGAGGATGAGTTTTTTCCAACCAAAAGATAATGATGGAGGGAAAAATTATTCTTATTTGTAATATTTAGTTAATTTCAAAAGATGTATATTTTAATTTTAGTTTTAGGGTCTATTTCTAAGGTTTTTAAGTTTTTCTAGAGATTCTAGATTGTTTTTAATATTTTTTATTTACTATTCACTGGTTAGTATTCATAGGTGTTGTTCACCGGTAATATTCATATAACTGTTCATGGGTTTTGTTCATGCATTACTATTAACAGGGGTATTTCTGAAATTTTATTATTGTTCATGGGTATAGTCTTAGGGTTTTGTTCATGCATTACTATTAACAGGGGTATTTCTGAAATTTTAATATTGTTTATGGGTATAGTCTTAAATGTTTCTCGGATCTCAAGTTAATTTTAGTGTTTCATAGACTTATAAAAGGTTAATGTCACATTTTGGAAGGCTTATGTTATTTGGAAATGAATTTGATTTCATGAAAGAAGAGAGTTCTTCTCTTCGCCTGATTCACATCCATTTTTTTCTCCATTATTGCTGATTTTTATTTGTTTGACATTTGGGAAAAATGTAAATACAATTTCCCACTTCCCTTCCTGCATCACATAACATCAGTGAACACCTCCTTTTTTTTTATTGATACTAGAATTTGAACTTTCCTCCCACTTCAAAAGCACATTCTCCACAGTATTCACCCAAATATTGGATTTTGTTTTCGACATACGTTTTTACTATTGTTAACTCAATTTACATGTAGCCAATTGTTTCTCCATGCCATGGTTCCACAACGTATATTTCTCATCAATTGATCCAATGTTTTCCTTTTTGGGTATTTCTGTAGCAGGGTTCAATTCTAGAATGTAGGTAGCAATGTCAAGATCTTAACCTATCAAGCCCAGGCCCTTATCTAGACTAATTCAAAATTTTGTCGTGAATCTAAAGTTACATGTTCTAGCTCAACCGATAACAAGCACTAGCATATAGCAAGCCACAACTGCTTTAAACATCACCAAGAAAATATATGTGCACACATACATTTGTACATGAATACAATAACTACATGCCAAACATGTGTGCATACACATAAATGAAATGAATGAAGGAACAAATGTTAAGTTATTGATGCAAACTGAAGCAAAGATTATATGGCGTTATAGAGCCATCAACTATGAGGATTGATGACCAATTTTTAAAGGATTTTTATTGGAAAGAATTTGGAATTGTGGGCATAATGGTTGGGCACATGCATATACAGGTTCAAGGTTAGGCGGGATGTGATGTGAAGCATTGGGGGGTCCAATGTGCTATGCGCCCACATCAGAGATTTTATATAACACTTAAAGGCCCAATCCTTTTCCCTCCTTCAAGTGGCTGGAAATCAAATTCATCCTGTTCATGGACTATATTTCCTCCCATGAGCAGGGTGGAATTACCCAGCCACATAGGCTCATCTAATGCAGCCACCTTGGCAAGCAAATCATCCATGCACACCTAGGCTGGCCGAAGCCATGTGGTCAGCATGTGATGACCATGCATAGGGTATTAGCACATGCCCAAGTGCCTTTAATTTACAATTTAAATTGTCAGCATAGGTAACAATTTACATAAATCTCTTTTCTTTAAAAGATTTTTAGAACAAAATCAATTGAACAAAGCCTATTTATTTTTTATTTATAAATTGTGTGTCCATGATTCTACCATTTGATGCCCAATTCTTGAGCATTCAGCATCCTTCAATCATAGTAGGATCCTTACCAGGCCAAGCTAATAATCTTCATTTTTTCTTTTGGTTTGAAATTCTATTGTTTTGCAATCATTATTTCTGTTCAAACTTCAAAGTGATCAAAATAAATCCATTTCAAATCATTCACCAACTTCGCTTGCAATCTTCTTAATCACACGCTTACTGCATAGATTTAAGGGAGGCCCTTCTGAGCCTCATCTAATATTTGTCCAATCAAAGACATAACCACAAGAAAATCATGAGAAAACAATCCCTCCAAGAATCCTATACAATTCTATGCTTCTACCAAATCACCTATATCATTGTTTTGATCTAAATGTCTGGTACATCTACACTCTGTTTCTCTAATAACTATCAGGACAGGTACATATCAAATGGCATTTGATGACATGATCTCATGCATATATCACAAAAGGTATGTATAAGATGACACCATATCATCCTTATAATAAGACTCCACGGGATTGTATGCATTAAATCACAATCAAATCAAGGTTGATACCGCCAATGAACTTGAAAACTGCTTCACCAATTCGTGGCAACACTATAAATTGGGTAACTATGAATAAGACAAAGCTAGCAAACGAGCACCCTAAATCGAGCCACCCCCTGTTGGGAAATTGTTAAATAATAACAATGAAGTACACATCAAAAGTCATCTTCATCTTACAAGGAAACTAGATATGGTTTTGTAGAGCACATGCACATTACATCAGATTGAAAAGAACCAATTTCAATGTGGAACTTTACAAACGAATAGATGCAGGACGATTTTACAAACTATAACTTTAGCTAAATTTATCTTCCTTAAGGAGAATGTTACTGGTAGCACCTATTCCCTACTAAGAAGCAATGTGGTTAACTTTAGTTTACACTAGTTTATTTACCAGGACAAAATGAGTAGAGACTACTTCCATCACCATAAGCAGGCACTGGTTTTCTCTTATACGTAATACTCCAGCCCCTATTTTGATAAGAACGGTGTATACTTCTTATCATTAGACTTCATAGACGCCATTGGCATGTACAGTCTGGCCGATTCCCAATATTCTGCTATTCAGGGTATTGGCCCCCTGCCACCCCGGGCTTTCTTTTAAACCACTGATACTGATATATCGTTATTGTGCATAATTCATGGGCTCTACTCCAAATTATACAGAAAAGACAGAAGCCCCATGGAATCTGATTTGCAGTATAATGAAATGTAAAATAGAACAATCATGTGCTCTGGATAAAACATAAACTTACATGCCAAAAGAAATTTTCTCAATGCCTAAGTCCAGGTATTGATTTCATACACACAATCTAATTGGATATAAACAAAGTGTTCTATCTAATAATTGACAAACAAGCATGACGTGGGGAACTCTCCAATTGCTATTATCATGGAAAAACAATAAATAACCACTCCAATTTCTCCTGTTTATAATATATTATTTGCCTCAAATACACCAAAACTGAAAACCTATTTACCTGCATAATAAATTGGTGGAGAAAAAGAAAAACCCAATTTTCAGGCTAAATGATGAAGTGAAATATTAAAAAATAATCAGAAAGAAAAAGAGTAAATTACAAGGTGAAAATTGTGCTTACATTCAGGAAAAGATGCCTTTCGAACGATTCTCTCTAGAGTATCATACACGAGCTTATTATCCACCAAAAATTTCAGATACCCATCAATGGTTGGCTCCCACTTTCCAATTGGTTGGGCGTCTGGTTCTTTTTCCCCTTCTTTTGCAACATCTCTGGTGTGAAGCCTCATGGCTACAAACCTCATTTCCTCAACAAAACCCTTAGCTTCACCAGGATACTTTTTCTTGGGTTTCTCAGCAGTTGTTGCAGCAACTGTAACAGCCCTAAATGGGACGCTACCATGGCCTGCAGACCCCATTACCAGAGCTTTTCGATAGAACGAAGAAGTGGGTTTTAATCGAGTAACCGAGTTTCTCACTCTGGAATTAAGGCCATCTAGGCTCAGAGAGAGAACCACTTTTAAACTGGTTTTGGGGGAGTTATGGCCATGAAAGACAATATGGGTATCGTTTGGAGTGAACCAGAAAGGGTGGTAACTTGAAAGGGAGGCCATGAAAGAGTTGTTAGAGAGAGGAACGGTGGGTGTCTTTGGGTTTGGGCAAAAGGAAGGGAGACGCAATAGAGGCAGGTAATGGAGGTTGCTCTGGAAGGGTATGGGTTGGAGTTAGAGAGAGAAAAAGGGGTACGAAGCTTTTTCAGTAAGGTCACTTCTCGTCTTCAATGGCGTAGATGATAAACAAAATCCACTCTCTCTATCACTAAAAAATCATCTCTCTCTCTTCTTTTCCTCGCTTTTCCCTGCGTTTCAATTCCGATGAGTTGAACTGTGTGAACGAGAATTTAAAATTGAGTGGTGGGCCAAAAGATTAGTTTCCCACCCCCTGAACAGCATAACTTCACAGGGAGAAGGGAGAAACTTCGAGCCTTCTAGAGAGAGGCATGAGGAAACTGATTCGTGTTAAAGCAAAATGTAAATGGTGTACATTGTTAATATAGGAGGTGTATATAAGAATGGTCACGGTATTATTTTGTATTTTATAGAATGGGTATGTTTTATGTGGTTGTTTTATTTTTATTTTAATCATATGTTATTTGTCTATTTATAAACAAGTTTGTATATTCATAAGTTAATAGACATATAGAGTTCTCTTCAAAGAATCCTGAGACTCTAACATGATATCTTATGTTGTTTTGCTATTGCTCTTTGTCTTGATTGTTTTTCTCGGTAGCGAAGATTTGAGTTCTTTATCTTGATTGTTCTCTCTCTAGCGAAGACAGAGTGTTGTCAATTCTTGCAATCAACTACTCTTTTGTTGTTCAATAATGCTGTGTTCTTGCCGTCTGTTTTTAAGGTTTATTGATCTATCATTGCTTGAGCCTGCTATGTTATGTTGTTATTTTGTGCTTGTTGATCAAGCAACGCGTACTTGAAGATCCAAGTGCTGGTTTCCAAAATTTAATATTCAAACTCCAGCTGCTCTCTCTCACATCATCTTGAATGTTAATAGGAGTGTCATCAAAAATATATATTGTATGTAAGGTTGATTATAAAAAGTGTATATTATAGTTAATGTATATAAGAAAGGTAAGTACAATATCCTGTATTTTATAGTAAATATGCATATAGTTTCGGTGCATGTGATTTCTTTCTATTCTAATCTTCTGCTATAAATTATCCAAAAAATAATAATTTATTATTTGCCTATTTGTTTACATATATAGACAAGTTTGTATATGGACCCGATTTTTATTCGGCCAAGCCCGCATCTGTAGAAATGCGGGCCTCTTAACAAATCAATTTTTGAGATAGATTTTAATACTTAAATTTTAAAGATATGTAATCTTTAACATGAATATCAAAAATTAGATAAACTTTAAAAATTAAAAGTAATAATTTTAGTAAAAAAACATTTGAACGATTAGTTTCCATTGTTTTTAAATGAAACACCTACTTGCATTCATCTTTTAAGATAAATGCTTTACGCTTTCTAGAACGCATATGTAGAAATACGGCTCTGAAACAATTTTCTTTTGTATATTCAAGAGTTCTCTTCAAATAAACATGAGACCTTAGAGAGAGAGAAGATTAGAGAGAGGCGAGAGGGCACATTAGAACCTTAAAGAGACAAGATGGGCCAATTAAATCAATGATAAACGACACATGGAGAGATGCATTCAATCTCGCATATGTTAGAGAGATAAACTGCACAAACAAATTTTAGTAGAGAGAGAGAGAGGATAGCTTTGTTCAAACTTGTAGAGAGAGATTAAGCATAATAGCATATTAAGAGCGAGAAAGGAGCCTTAGGTAGAGATGGACCAATATAATTGTTTTGTTTTAGGAAGAAAACTGAGAGAGAGACCTATTATGTGTAGAGAGAGAAAATGCCGATTTATTGGACAAAAGAATGATGCGTCCGACATACCAAGATTGAGTTATTGATAAGGATAGAGTGATGGATACAATCTCACAAATGTAGAGAGAGAAAATATTAAAAAAAGTAGAGAGAATAGTATTTGCAAATAACACCGAGGTGATTGCAATGAAGGGGGCAGATTGCGAGTTGAGACAGAGCCACCCTATCCAACGGTTCAAATTCAATCTTGGAAATTATCTTCTAGGATAAAAAAAAAAGGAAAGAAAGTGCGGTTTGTATAGAGCCGAGGCTCAAAACAATCAAAGTAGAGAGTGTCGAGAAATGTGCTTTCAGTACTGAAAATCTTGGTGATAGATTTAAAATGTATTTCGATCTCTAATTATAAAATTTTAAGCTTCCAAAATAGTGTAGATTGAGCAGCTCTATGAAAATTTAAAAATCTTGAAAATTGACAGTAAAAAACTCCATTACAAGACGCATTATTTCCAAAACTTGACATTTTTATTTTTTCTTTTTTTCATGTCTATATATCTTGATGATGATCAGTTTAAATATATTTGGGCATTAAAACAACCTGAAAATTTTAAGGTGCACTCTAATTTGATTGTTTAGAGTCTGACGCCATATAAACTTTTTCTTAAAAAAAGGAAGAGAGAGGAATATGTGCATATCGCATAATATTTTAATTATTTAAATTTTTTTGTTATTGTGATTTTTTCTTTTCATCATCATACAAATCTTATCCAAATTATTTGGATGTTGACTACATAATATTGTTTCGGGATTGTATACAATAAGACCATTTATCTTTCATACATAAAGGTCACAATTACTTATAACTATCCAATGTGAAATTTGATAGCTTTGATTTATCACAAAGTTCGAGAATTTTTATTTTGGATTTTGAGCTTGATCAATAAAACAACTGCAGCCACTCAAGATAAATTGTGACCACTTTGTACAAAAGATAAATAATCTCGTTATATATTTTCTCGGTTGTTTATCCATTCTTCTATATCAAGGGTCATACCCCCGGTAATAACATTAACATAGGTTCAAAATTAATGTTAAGATGTGGTAAAATTTTATGCTGATTGCTTGCCTATCACAATCCACCTACTTTACTTGGACTTTGGTCGGGTTCAGGGAAAGTTTAAGGTCTTCATCTTTATTAGAATATTTTATAGGTTCATGTTTCATATCGTCGATATTCCAAACTAAACATTCTATGAATTAGATTATGTAAATTTTAGATCTTGAAATCCCAAATAAGTATGTCTGTATTTTTTTGCAAATTTGGCTTATTTTTTAATTTTGAATGTTTGAAAAAATTGGATGCCAACGTTCAAAATTTTTTATTTTTTTGGATTTTAAAAATCCAATTTTGTGCATGTTTTCTTGTTGGTCCCAATGCACAACATATGCCCTCAAACCAGAAAAAAAAAAATAGATTTTTAAAGTTTGAAAACATTCAAAATTTTGAATGTTGAAAATCCAAATTTCATGATCATGAATATTGGAATAATAATAATAATAATAACAACAACAATAATAATAATAATAAGGGAAAAGTCTATATAAAGTAGCAAACTTAAACTGTAGAATCACATATGCACCTCAAAAATCTATCGGAAAATGTCTTTTTAATGTTAAAAACCTCTAATTGACCATTTCGACATTAATATGTATGGTTATGAAAAGAAAAAAGAAAAAAAAAGAGGTTTGAGTCCCAGAAATAGTGCATCTTGCAACCCATTATCTAGACCATCCATTTTCAAGATTTTCATATGTTTATAGATCTACTTGATTTTAACCATTTTTAGAGTTTCAAGTTTTCTAATTAGATATAAAATAGATTTTAAGATATTCCTAATAAGTTTTTATATCAAAATTACATGTTATGATAAAATTTGGAGGTGCGTCTTAATTGGATTGTTTAAGGTTACGACGTTATAGAAACCATACCCTAACAACAACAACAACAACATAATAATAATAATAGTAGTAATAATAAAAGTCGATTTTGTAAAAATAAAAGAAGTAAAATTTTAGACTTTCAAGATCCGATATTAGAATACCTTTTTTAATAACGTGGCTAATATCCAATCCAATACCCAAAGGTTTCGATTTTATAAAATTTCAAACTCTTAAGATCTGAAATAAGGGTGGTCTTGGAACAAATTTAAAAAAAAAAGAAAAAAAAAAGAAAAAAGTATATGAGCGTTAATTGCAACATTTAAAGGATACTTTCTTAGTAATTAAAAAAATCAGAAATTCCAAAAAGAAGGGGAAGAAAGGATGGCTTCAAAGGAAGGATTAAAGTACTTCCTTCCAGTTTAATAATCTCATGGCTTAGGCCATAGGCCCCAAACAAAATAATCTAGTGGTCGCTTTCGAAAGTGATATCAAATGAAAACTAGTTTTAATTTTTAACTATTGGCCTGGCTAGGTCAAGTAAATTTATTTGTTTTTTTAGAATGATAATTTGTTTCTTTTTTTAAAATGATAATTTGGGACATGATGTGAATAAAACTCTAGACATCATGTTATGGGACCGTCATCCAAACTACCTCCTCCAAGACCTCATTCCTTGAGTGGGGTCAAGTATATCTCTATGTTTTCAATTTTGTGTACAAAGATATGGTATGATCTCAATTCTCCTAGTTCATCTCAACAACTCCGGAGACCGACAGGACTATAATTAACAAAAAAAATAAAAAAAATACGAAACTCACTTACTCAAGCAATTATAGGGGTATTTCTATCCCGAATCAGTCCCTTCCATGTCCAACTCGACTTGGGTGATTTTTTAATTAATGATAGTAAGAATTGAGGTTTTAGAAAAATAGCAACCCGGATCAGAATTGCTCAATTGGGATCGGATTTGATGGGTGGGCTATTCAAATCTATTGCCCCTTGAATTATCGAATTCTCGTAATTTTTTCTTCTTCTTGTTATTTTTCTCAACTGGACAGTCTAGATCGGTTCACTAATAAAGATATTTTCCAAGACTCGATTTCATATTTTTAAAATACATGCAAGAATGTTTATAATTAATTTATTGACAAAATGGTCTCTTTAATAAGATTATTTCATTCATTACATTATCCAATATTATGATAAAAAATGCAATCGTATAAAAAGTTTGAGATTCTGAACAAACATAGGTATTTTGGTCATTTAGCTATTATACATATAGGCCTAAATTACAAAAATGCATCCAATTGGGTTTAGTCAATCTTTCATTTTGTACATAAGGCCTCAACAAAAGCCTCTATAAATAAATTTTTTCTCTATTTTGATGGTGTATATCATGTCCTATGATAGAATAATATATACTATTCTAGAGGATTTTTGAGGTACAACTTAGTTCGATAATATAAGGTTGAGAAAAAAGATAGCATTTTTGCCTCTTTTAAAAAGACAGAAAGGGGTAACTTTGTCATATTAGTAGTAGTAGACACTTCCAGAGATAGAACGCGGTAAATGATACTGTACAACAACTCCCTTAGGAAATAGAGTAACTTGAAGTTTTTTTATTTATTTATCAAAGAGTAAGATTTCTATCTTAATATTATCAGCTGATTATTGTCATAAAAAAAGGGATTCTAAGTTATTAACCACCTAGTTCTTACGCACCAAATTTTGGACAATTTTTGTTCAATGTTGGGAAGTTTATTTTTTCTTTTGAGATTTTGATTATTAGGTTCTAAAGGCTATGGCCCCAAGACTTTGGGTCCAAAAATTGTTCCTAAAAAAATTTTATCCGAAGGGAGCAATACGGAAAATGCTATGGTAAGAGTAGCAAATCTTTTGACATTGATTGTAGCAGCAGACTAGGCATTTATATCACTCTAAGCCTAGATATTATCTCTTGCATGATTGTATGATGTGACATTGTGTGTAAGGCAGTGTTTTGGAAAAATGTATAATGAGATTTTTTACTTTTGATATAAGGTTGTCACAATTAATTTTGATTATTAAATATGAAATTGGGTGATTATATTTATTTTATTGAGCAAATTTAAAGTTTAAAATAAATTTTTTGAATTTTATAAAACATCCAAATTATTAGATTTTACATCGGATGGTTATAAGTAATTGTAACCTCCCTATATGTACCAAAAGTAAGTGATCTTATTGTATACAATCATTGTTTTAATACTTTGGGACAACATAGTTTTGGTTTTACAAAACATGATTATGTGCATGAAAAAAGTGCCAAACATATTGTTGTGCATAATACCTCAAGTATACAAAACACAACTTTATATATCCCAGGATCCAAATGACTTTGTAAGAGCTAGAGAATGAAGGTAGATTTGTCATTCTAGTATAAGGGTGGCAATGGGTCGGGTCGGGTCGGGTCGGTCCGTGACCTAGACCCAAAAAATTATATGGGATCCGTATCCAGATCAGGACCCAATTGGACTTGAATTTACCGGATCCAGATCCGAACTTGAAAATACAGTGTGGGACTCGACTCAAACCTAGACACAATTAAAAAATTAAAATATCTATGTATTTAACTATATTTAAATATATTTCATATGTCGGGACCTAAAAATATTAACGGATCAGAACTTGGACCCTAATAGTATTCGGGTCCAAAATGTGGACCAAAAATTGACCTACTAGGTCCAATTTTTAGATCTATAACTTGGGCTTAGATTGGGTCTACCCCTCAGATCCCCTGTCAGGTCTATTGCCTCCCCTACTCAAATGAACGAGAACTACTTTATAGAGAGAGACTCCTTTCACTTAGAAGAAGTGTTTTTTTTTATTTTGTCTTGCCTTTTGTTTTGGGAAAGGTTTCTATGTCTGCCCTACAACATAAAAGTTCTATCCTCCCCTTACCATCCAGCTGTCCAATTTTGATCAAGAGAGCTACTTAGCGATT